TGTGTGTGTGTGTGTGTGTGTGTGTGTGTGTGTGTGTGTGTGTGTGTATGTGTGTGTGTGTGTGTGTGTGTGTGTGCGTGTGCGTGTGCGTGTCAGATGGTCCCACATGCAGAGAGTGTTGGACACAAACCAACATTTCTGTGAGAGAAGAAGAACCAAGCTGTTCCTAAAATAACTGAGTGAGAAAAAATGATTTTTTTGTGACTTTAATATTTTATTTGATCAGAATGTTTCCAAAGCAGTTTTAATGCTATGCTGCTGAAATTGTACACATAACAGATACTGGAGAACCTGGACAAATGTAAACTGTATTAGCTTGATACTCAAAGTTGTTTGTTTTTTTTATTATTATTTTAATTGAGAAAACTTCTTGGAGTATTTTCTTGGGGTCAAATGTCCAGTTACCTTTGATTTAACTGTAAGGAACAGATTAAATGCTGACTCTAAAAACTGGTGAACAGCTGCTAAATAAAACCTGGTATTTGACCTGCTGTTCACTTTTACAGAAATAAAGGTTAGTGTTAATACTTTACTATGAAACTCTGCAGCACCCAGTAATTATTGTAAAAATAATTGGACCTTTGCAGTAATTATTTACCATACGTGTTCAGAAACTCCCAGTTTCCTTAAACGACATCAGAACTAAAGCTTCTTTTAGGAGGAAATCTTGAGAAAATCCAAGCAGACTGATGAGCATGCATCAGGATATTCAAGCAGACTGGTTTAATGCAGACTGGTTTAATGCAGACTGGTTTAATGCAGACTGGTTTAATGCAGACTGGTTTAATGCAGACTGGAATCCTTCCGTTTTGCTTTGGCAAGGCTCATTAACTAGGGCAGCCATGCTGAATCAGGGCTACTCCAAAAGACTCATTAAATCCATCCACCTAGTTCAAAAGATATTTAGCCAAGAAACACACAAAGATCATTTATGATGGTCCACCTGTCATGGAGGTGGAAGAAATAAAAACACAAGGTGGTGAACCTGTTTCTTTCAGTGTTTGATGATGTTCTACAGGGGTCCATCTGAACCTGCTGAAGTTGAGCCAAGAAACTCTTCTTTTGGATCTAAAACCTTCAAACTGTGTTTTCCAGAAGACCCTCGACTGTTTTCCTGTTCTGGTTCTTGTCGTGTCTCTTTACCTAAAATTAATTTCAGTCATATCCTGCGTCTGTAATCTAGTTTTTTCTGTTTCGTCAGTGCAGCTTCATGCGTTCTATGGTTTCTTTAACACCACAGATTGTTTTGTTCCCGTTCTAAAAAACTGTTCCAAGTTTAATCATGTGTGAAACCACACATTTGTCCGTGTTGCTGTAATGTCTTCTTTCCTGTTTTCACATTTATATATTTTTATTGTGATTTTTGTGTTGTTGTTGTTTTTAAATAGAAAATCTTTAATGTTCTAAATAACTCCATGTTGTCTCACATAGTTCTGGAAGCAGGAACTGTTCAGGATTTAAACTCGTTCATTGGTTGAGAGGTTCGTATTTTGGAGCACGTGCATTTGAATTGTAAACTGGAACAATGTCTCCCTCTGCTGGCAGAGCTGCAGTCTTACAGGTTAAAGGAAGTTCATTTTCAGTCAGGTCATCTGGATTCATTTTGTGCTGAAACGTTAGAGACCATCTTAGCACCAACATAACTGGTTTGTTCCACTTTGGAGTAAGCTGTTGGGGGAAGAATCAGTTTTTTACTGTGTGTTTCCTTGACTGATGAAGCCTTCTGGATGGAAGGTGAAACATTTCAGCACACAAAAAAAGAAAAGAAACTGTCCAGATGACCAGACAGAAAATTGTTGGATTGTATACCTGGATTATTGAGCATGGACTTTGTAGGTTAAAGGCAGATTTACTCCACACACTAAGTTAAAACCTTTCAGAAATTACAAAGTGGGTAGTTAAAGTTTAATCTATCTACTCTGAATCTTCAGCAAACCTGCTGACTCCATTTGTTAAAATGTTCTGACACCTCGCACTGTTCATTATATCACTTGCACTGTGGGGGAAATGATTTACCTTTGCTCTTGTAGAATCAGTCATACAGAATCAGCTCATCTAATAAAACTAGAGCTAGAAACTCTGTGCACTTTTCTGCTAGAGATGAGAAACCTCTGGTAAGACGTTTTCATCCTCAAACAAGAGGTCCACTTTGCCTGAAACCTTTAGAAGCTGCTCATTTATTGTTGGAAACACACTGATTGTTTCTTCACTTGCTGATCTCATGGTTGCTTTGGTTTCCATGGTGATGCAGATGATGGAGACGGAGCCTCTTGTTTTGTGATGCTGTGGAGACTTTTTCCTTTTCTATGCCAGTGTTGAATCCGTGGTCCCTGTACATCCCACCTCGCAGCATGGCCTCGGAAAAGTGACTCGACATGGCATTAAACTGAGTCTGAAACACAAACAACGTGTTTCTGAAATCAATAAAACTTTGTCTCGTATCAGCTGCTGCTTGAGATTTTCAAATATTTTTCTGTCAGTGATACTACAATAGTAATATTATATGTTTGACTGAAATATAGTTTTATTAAATTTCAAATTTTGTCAGTAAAACATTATATCAAAATTATTATTATTATTTTTCATCTTACCGGCATTTCATGAATGGTTGGTTTCTTGCTGCCATATGTTTGGTTCGACGTCCGATATAAAGGATTACTTACTTTCAGCCTGAAACCAAAAAGCATCATCTTGAGTAAGACAAATATCGACAGGGATGTCGATGAAAAGACCAGATGTGTAAATGGTTCTGTTTCTTTCTGTTTTCTTTCCAGTGATCCAGACTTTTCATTAAAGTGGTCTCAACAGTTCTTCAGACTTTCTGAAGGTCTTCCAGATTGTTTCTTTGGACTTTGACTGCTTTTCCTGCAGGTTCAGTTCTTGCTCCTGAACATTTCAGAGTGTTTTGAGCATTCAGTCAGAAAATGGCTTCTAAACTGGCGGGGTCATTGTGTCAATGTGGGGAGTGCTGGCACAGACGTTAGAGAAGGTGAGCCTGTGATCAAAAGGTCACCGGTTTGAATGCCCTGATTTATAGTATTATTCCTTTTTAGCTCAGGTGGCCATCTTGGATTTTTGATTTGTCTTAGGAATATATAACATCTCACTCTCATCTACGACCATACCAATTTTCAGCTCAATTTCTCCAAGAATGACTGAGTTATAGTCAATTTTGAGTTTGCTGAGGTAGCTGTAGGCAGCCATCTTGAACCAAAATGGCTCCAGAAGTTATTCTGTGTTTTGTTCAAAGACCTCTCCAGGTCTTGTGACCTCGCAGTTAGAAGCTGTTCGATGAGTTCAGTCAGCCTTTTTCAAATGAGAAAAATGGCGTCTTTGTTTGTAAATTACGTTGTCATGGTAACTCGGAAAGCCAATAAAAGTGATAGCTCACGCCACGGTACCAAGCTGGTGGTTAACATTTATTGGGTTAGGTGGCTGCCATTCAGCTACTGACCCGTTTCAAACTTTCATGAAAGTATGAACCACTGTAAAGAATATCCTGATGCATGTTCAATAATCCAGGAAGAAAAAAAAATCTAACAAAGTTAAGTCAGGTCCTCTGGATGGATTAAAAAAATAATACAATTATAAAAATTTAATTGTTTAAATGTTTCATATTTCATGCAAGAGTTCATCAGTCCGAGGAGCCACAACAAACTTAAGGATCTCACTGTAAGGAAGTCACAGCAGATAAACAAGTCAAATTAATGGTGTAACAACGACTAACTGGAGTTGTGGTAACATACCCGTAACCATGGAAACACTCAGGGTTGTTGAATTTGTGTGGTAGGTTTGGATCGGTCTGGTACAAGTTGCAGGTTTGAACCTTCTGATCCTCCATGTCTAACTGATGAAACAACACAGTTGCTACCAACACAGCGGTTACCATGGAGACAAAATTGACACTCACTGGCCCCACCTCCTGAGTGAGATACACCAGGAAGAAGCAGGAAGTGAAGGTTGAAACGTGTTTCAGAATAATCTTTTTTGTCTTTGTCACCTCTGAACTCCTCTCTTTGACTGGAGTTCTGATGGGGATGTGCGCTCCTTTCAGCGCACATTATGTTTCTAAAATCATACTTTAAAAATAATAAACGCTGACTGTGTAAATGCTATGTTAATATTTGATCAGCCAGAAGTAGAAGGTCTGATGCTAAATGTTGTCAGTGGTTGTGCTCCACAGGTTGGATGTGATGTGGAGGAGAAACATACATTTTGTAAAGATCTGGATGAAGTGATAGAGAGTATTCCCAGGGAGGAGAGAGAGGTGATGGGAGCAGACCTGAACGGACATGTTGGTGAAGGAAACAGAGGGTGAGGAAGTGATGGGATGTCATGGGAAGAGATAAAGAAACTGCATTCTTCTCATTGTGATCTAGTTCACCAGAGGATTATTTATTCTGACTGTTTGAAATGTTGAGGGAAGCATTAAACAGTCTGATGTCATTTGGTAGGAATGTCTTCCTGTGTCTTCATGGAGCCTCTCAGTTGTAGCGGTCTCTGACTGAAGGAGCTCCTACAGATGTCCAGGACCTGGAGTGGGGCTTAAGCTTGGACAGCATCCTCTTTTCCACCACAACATTCACTGAGTCCATCTTCACCGCCAAATTATGGCTCTACGAATAGTTTTGAACCAATATAACACTGTCCACCAGACTCAGAACATCCTCAGTTTTGTCCAGCAGATGTTAAATGACCTCAGCCTCCTCCGAAACAGAGGCAGTGCTGTCCCTTTTTGAGCTCCTAGTCCAAATTTGTTTATTAGTCGACATACCCAGGAATATGTACTCCTCAACACTTTCCACAGGGAACTCTGGATGAAGACAGATTTTAAGATTTTGGCATGCATCTTGAGGTGAGTGATGATCGTTCCACTTTGGAACCGTTATCCACAGCCAGTCTTTGCTATGATCTGGCTGAGGGGGTTCAGGCATATGCAGAACAGGAGTGGGGACAGTGCATCTCCTCGGTATATGCCACATATGATGCTGACTTGTGCAGTTGGCTTTGAATTGGCCTCTAGAGTTTTCCACATTCCCATTGAGTTCTCTTCTTCCAAAGGCTCTTAGTGTCCTGTTACCGTTGTACAGGTTCCAGCACTCCAGTATCCATGTGTGTGTCACTGAGTCATAGGCTTTCCTTATGTCAATCCAGGCAATGCACAGAGCGTAGGTTCTGTCGACAAGTAGCTGCTGCTTGACTCCCCTGATGTTGATGCAAATTCCCTTTTTGCCTATATACATCTATACATCTTCTGGACTCCAACAATCAAACACGATCCTAGACTACATAATGATGAACTGCTTAGTGAAGGTCTCAAGAGGAATTTTCATGGAAAGATGAGCCCCTACATGTAACACTTGATTATGATATTCCATGTATGCATGCTTCATACCATTCAGAAGCATCTTTCCATGATGGTTTCTCTTGTTCCTCCTTCTCCACCTTAGGTTTCTGCTGCTGCCTGAGACTTTCACCGATCCATTCATCATTGGGGATTTTCTTCCTGATTTACTCCCAAAAAATTATGAAAAAGTACTGATGCCCATGTTCAACTCCAACATCACTTTATTTTCAAAGTTCAGCATACATGAAAGTGAAAAGAGCAGGATCCAACACACCTCAATAAAAAAAAATAAAAAAAGCAATTTAACAATATTCAAGTAAAAGTTTCACATTTCGAACAATCATCAAGAGATTTATTGATCCAAAAAGAGTGGGGCGGGGCCTAAACGAGCAGTTTATCTGTGGCCTTGGTTAATGTCTGCAGGCTGACAAGGGGCGAGCTCCGTACAGGCTGTTCTGATGAGGTTGTGGCTACTTCCACCATGTTTACTTAGCGTGAGGCTTAAACAGGCTGCAACCTTTTCCAGCCTTTTCCTGTGGGTTTGGCTAATAGAGTTCTATGAAAACCACTAGAAGATGCACTGGTCACGTGACTACGTGAGTCACTGGAGCTACTGCGACCATTAACAAAATGGTCAAATGTCTGCACTCAGGTGCTTTGTCTAAATAGCTCTGAGTATTTAAGGAATGTTAAAAAATAATAATAAAGTGTATGTGATATAATAATGATACCATAAAAAATGTAAGTAAAAATGCCAGAAAGCTGTGTGTGCTACAGATATAGCAACAGAAAAGGGAAAACGTGTCTCCTTTCACAAGTCAGCAGATTTGATCTTATTTACCTCGATGTGAATGTGATCCGACCAGAACTGAAGCTAATAATGTAAATGTTTATAATTAGCCTCTAAAGCTGATGTAATGGCTGTTAATTATTGAACTGGTTGGGTATCCACCTTATTCCTGGGGGCTCTGCTGTCTAAATGATTCTAGGTACAACTTCCTGTCAAACAGGAAGTAGCAGTCAGCATTGGTTAACCATGGTGGTGGAGCACGGACCGCGGGTTATTTGAAAGTAATTTACATTCAGTTTAGCAGATAAAACTCTGTTTTTGTTTTGTTTACATTTATTTAACAACCGTAAAGTTTACTAAGATAGCCGTGCTGCGTTCAGGTACCTGTTGTGTTCACGGCTGCAGAACAACCAGACCAAACTAAATCAGTGGCTACAACAACAGTTTTAAACATGGACCCAGAACAAAAAGAGTTCCTGTGAAAAGAGGTAGAGTTTCCATCTCCTACCTACAGATGAAGAATTAAGAAGAATGTGGATAAAAAATGTGAACTTGAAGAGACCACCCAAAACACTGTATGTGAGCTCATTTCACTTTGTTGACAAACGGCCGACGGAGGAAAACCTGCATCCTACTTTGTGTCTGGACGACAATAAACCACCGGAGAAGAGACGCCGGATCCTCAGAACAGAAGGATTGAAAACTGAGATGAGAACATCAGTTATGATTTCAAGTGTACAGAGGACACAGCTTTATAGTATTTGTTCATTTTCTGAATTACAGTTTTCTCTACGACTAACCAAAGCTCAGTGATGGAGGACTTTAAGTCTTTGTCTGGGCTCTGTGTCTGATTTAAGATCAATAAGATCGTGTCCCACCTCTTAACAAAACACCATCAACTTTATTACTGTAGATACTGATACACCTCGGCGCTTTTCAGGTTGTTCATCGCTTCACTGTCAGAAGAACCGAGTCAATGAAGTAGCTAAATACACTAGTACATGTAGCTAAATATGCTGTAAGTAGCTAAATATGCTAGTGTAAGTAGTTAAATATGCTAGTATAAGTAACTAAATATGCTAGTATAAATAGCTAAATATGTTAGTATAAATAGCTGAATATTCAAGTATAAGTAGCTAAATACGCTAGTATAAGTAGCTAAATACGCTAGTATAAGTATCTAAATATGCTAGTAGATGTATCTAAATATGCTAGTATAAGTAGCTAAATACGCTAGTATAAGTAGCTAAATATGCTAATAGATGTAGCTAAATATGCTAGTAGATGTATCTAAATATGCTAGTAGATGTATCTAAATATGCTAGTATAAGTAGCTAAATATGCTAGTAGATGTATCTAAATATGCTAGTATAAGTAGCTAAATATGCTAGTATAAGTAGCTAAATATACTAGTATAAGTATCTAAATATGCTAGTATATGTAGTTAAATTCTAGTACTGTAGATGTAACCTGCAGCCACTTCTTCAGGTCGCCCTCCATCCCTTGTGATTATATTGTCCTGTTTGAACTCTGACAGGTGGTGTTCCTACAATTAAATCCACAGTGCTCAGAGAAACTACATTAGCTCGTACTGTTCGCACAGGAACAAACTCCGGGTCTGGTCCGTGCCGAAAGTGGCGCCCATAAATCACTCAAGGCAGCAGGGCTAGGAATAAGGTGGATAAATTATATGAAGTTGTTGTAAAGATATTAATGATAGTTTGTGATGCAGATCCAGCTGGGTTTGCTTTAAATCAAGCAGTTGTTTTGTAGGCTGTGAGAAGTTGCTCGTTTTGGACGCCATCTTTGCTTCTCCACGAAGCCACAGATGTAAACGATGGGCGGGATGAGCCGTGAGTGCTCTAGTTGTTTAATAGAACTCTAGTACAAGGTGAGGGGCCTAAAATACATGTTCCCAACGGGGTGTAGCCAATTCTACAATGTGTATAAGAACGGTATCCAAACAGGCACATTCTCTGTGGGTGTGGCTAATAGTGACATGTTTACAAGGGGCGGGACCTAAAGGGGAATAAACTGCAAGTACAACTTGTAGTAACATATTGGTAAGGGTTTAAAGTGACCACTCCCACAGTGAAATTATCAATCCCCACAGGTGTGTAGCCCATCCCACAACAATTTCAGTGACAGCCTGTGAGCTCAGCTTTGTTATTTCTTCTCCACACAGGTTCTTGACTCCATCTTTGTTTGAATTCTGTGACTCGGTGAAAATATCCAGCTGCTTAACAGCTCTCAGACTAGTTTTTTTTATTTTATTTTACAGGTAACAAATTAAAGTTCAACACAATCTATTTCATCTACATTTTAAAGTTTATCTATAACGTTACAATCAGAGAGCAATAAATATCTATAACTGACCCTTGATTGGTTTCTAAGCCAACAGCAGGTTTCAGTCCTTCAAGTGTTTAAAATGTTTGAGGAGTGAATCCGTTCAATAAAAAATTGTCAGCAAGCTTTTCCTGGATTTTCTGCAGCCAGACATCCTCATTAACAGCTGAACTAAATGATCAGTGGGTGGTTTTAGGTCCAACTGGTTGTCACAAACCCTACAAGGCAGACAGACAGGTAAAGTAACTTCTGCAATAAAAAACAACTAAAAACAAGGAAGCCGTTGATCGCAGTAGTAATAAAAATAAAAAGTTTTCACTGTAGTTTCAGACATTTTGCAAAATGATACAGATAAGAAGCTGACCTGTGGACTGTTCAGCTGTGAACTCTACACAGTCAGAAATCAGACGGGTCAGAGGTCATTCAAAGGTTGTCAGCAGGTCCAAAAAAAGTCAAATGGAGGATGGACGTACAGGTCAATTCAGGTCACGTGGAGGTCAGGTGTAGGTCACTGCACCTTTGGTGCTGCTATCCAGGAACACTTTGATGTAGGATGTAGGAACGTATCCCTCCTCCTCCAGGTTTCTCCGCACTCTGGTCCAGCCATCGCCTTTGTCCTCCTCCACCACAGAAAGTAATTCGCCTTCCACCATGGACAGAGTGCCTTCATTCTGACCTGCAGGGAACCACCACACGTTGAACCACAGAGACAAAATTACACAGCTAACCACGTTTCCTCTCTCTTTTGCTGTCTTTACTTGCTCTACTCTGCCAATTTGTATTTGTAATTATTTCTATATTAATATGTTTTGTGTATTTCCTCCTATTGAAAGTTCACCTGGACTATAGAAAGTACACCTGGACTATAGAAAGTACACCTGAACTATAGAAAGTACACCTGGACCATAGAAAGTACACCTGGACCATAGAAA